CATTTTGAGTGTAGCCCAGCAAATTTCTTTCTTTAATAAAGCTTGAATGGTATCCGGCATCTAGGCTCACTTTCTTTCACCAACTAGTTGACTGTACTTGAGTACAATTACTTGACCAAGTCAACTAAATTTCCTTCACTGTGAAAACTACCACGTGGTGGTGGTTTACTATTATATTCCCCAATTTATACTTTACATAATTCATTTCTAGTATTTCCTCAATCTACAAGTTTCCCTTATTCCAGAGGAACAACTTAATGTTATGTTGAACCACATGAAATTGCCACTTTTTTAGGTTAGAAATGGTTCACAATTGACTCCGATTATGTGTAGAGCCAGCCACTTGGAATTTAAGCTCATATCCACCACTTATTAGGTCTAAAACCATAGTTAGTTATATAATCTTCCTAAACTTCAGTTTTTCTTGTCTGTAAAATAGATAGGCATAACAACAGTACCAACTTCAAACAGTTGTGAGCATTAAATGAGGTAATGCACACAAAATGCTTGGCACAGTGCCTGGCACACTGCAATTGCTTAGCATATGCCAGTTTAAAAGAGAAAAAGGAATAAAGCTGATCCATCTATCAGTACTCCCAGTGCTTATCATGGTTTTTAATCTGTTATATATGCTAAATAAAGTTTGTATTAGATTAGATGTTTCTGGTCTTCAATTTTATCAGACAGATCCATTATGTGTTCATAATCCATTATGTGTGAACATTTGTGTAAGAGCCTAATGTTCCTGTTTTATTCCACCCATTTTCTTAGTAAAGTAAGGAGTATAGGGACTACCTGGATCAGCAAGAGAAGCAGCTTTGAGGACGGGCCAGTGATTTGGAGGAAAACTGCATGACTGTCAGGTCTTATAGGCTAAGTGAAAAAAGTGCTTTGAGAGGGAAGGAGAGAAACCTTGCCATTTGCTCCTGAGAGGTCTAGTAAACTGGACGTTCAGGACCAACCTTTGGATTTAGCAATAAGGAAATCACTGGGGACTTTTTTTCCTTTAATTTTTATTTTTATTGTAATGTAGTTGATTGCACATATCTGTGGGTTACAGAGTTGAATATCAATAAGTGTGAAACATGTGATGCTTAAATCAGAATATTATATATTCAACAATATACAATGTCATCACTTTCTGTGGCTCTTTACCAATTCTTCCCTTTCTCCTGCTTCCCCTCTCCCACCTTTAGTAACTTCAGCTCTCCGTTTGAAAGTTCAACGTATTATTGTGACTGTTGTCTCTTTCTTTCTTTCTTTTATTTATATGTTTATTTTTTAGCTCCCACTTATGAGTGAGGATGTACAGTATTTCTCTTTCTGTGCCTGGCTTATTGCACTTAACATGATTTTCTCCAAGTTCATCCATCTTGCTGCAAATGGCAATATTTCATTCTTTTTCGTGGGCAGGGTAGTATTCCATTGTGTATACATTTTCATTATCCAGTCATCTGACAGTGGAGATTTAGGTTGGTTCCAACTCTTAGCTGTTGTAAATAGAGCTGCAATAAAAATGGGGGTGCAGGTATCCCTTCAACATGATGCTTTCCATTCCTTTGCGTATATTTCTAGAAGTGGAATTAATGGATCATATGGCAGTTCTATCTGAAGTTGTTTGAGGAAACTCCATACTGTTTTCCATTTGGCTGCACCAATTTACAGTCCCACCAAAAGTGTAACAGCATTCCCCTTTCTACACATCTCCATCAGCATTTGTTGTTCTCCATCTTTTTAATAACAGTCTAACTAGGGTGAGATGATATGTTGTTTTGATTTGCATTTCCCTGATGCTGAGTGATGTTGAGCATTTTTTTCATGTGTCTGTTGGCCATTTGTATATCTTCCTTTGAGAAATACCTATTCAGCTCCTTTGCCCATTTTTTAACTGGGTTATTTATTTTTTTACTAAGTTGTTTGAGTTTCTTGTATATTCTGGATATTAATCCTTTGTCAGATGCATAGTTTGTAAATATTTTTCCCCACTCTGTAGGTTGTCTTTTCACTCTGTTAATTATTTCTTTTGCTGTGCAGAAGCTTTGCAGCTTGATATAATCCCATTTGTTTATTTTTCCTTGTGTTGCCCGTGCTTTTGGGGTAATATTCTTAAAGTCTTTGCCCAGTCTTACTTCCTGAAGAGGAAATCACTGGTGGCCTCGATAAGAAGATTTCAATGGAGTGCTGAAGACAAAAGCCTAAATGGTCAATTAAGGACAGATGAGAAGTAAGGATGTAAAACACTGAGAATAGACATTTTAAAATTATTTTACTATAGAAGGATTTGGTGATACACTCAGTAAGACATATAAGGTCAAGAAGGGGATTTTAAAAATGGGATTTACAAGAACAATAAGATAAAAACAATCTAGTAGAAAGGGAAAATTGATCATGAAGGAGAGGAGATAACTGCAGGAGCACAATCCTTGTGCAGAAAGGAGGCAATACAATCTGTGCACAAATGGTGACACTGGTCTTAAGCCAGAGCAGGAACTGTTCCTTAATATTGTAAGTGAGAAGGCAGAGGATGGGGTGTAAAGGCAGGCAATTTGCTGAATTTGCTAATGAAAAATGGGGTAGTTCTTTTCTGATTGTTTCTATTTTTTCAATGAAATAGGAGTCAAAGTGATCATCTGAGAGTGAGCAGAGAGAAGCTGAAGACAGAAGAGAAGTTGTGACTAGCCCTCTTGGGACTGGGAGAGCAAATGGAATGGGAAGATGTAGTAGAATTGCCAGGCCATACTGAGGGTCCGCTTGAGATGTATGTTTGTAAGTTTAAAGCTAACCAGTCAATGCCATGTTTTTCTTCAGCCGTGTTTAGCTGCTCAAATGCAGGCATAGAGCAGACCAAGAATTGGGTTCAACCAATGTCTGACAGACAGCATAAGTGGCAAAGTGTGTATAAGGATTGTTTATGGTGATGCTCCATCGGTAATCTGAGCCAAGCAATGAGAGAAAGGGGGTCATGAGGTATGACAAATGGTGAAAAAGTAGAGGAGTCACCTGTGGTCCCAGTGGGAAACACATGTGGGTGCACTTTAAAAGTGATCTGGGGGCCGGCCCGGTGGCACACTGGAGAGTGCGCCACTTGGGAGTGCGGCGGCGCTCCCGCCGAGGGTTCGGATCCCATGTGGAGACCGGTTCCCGCTCACTGGTTGAGCGCAGTGCGGGCGCAACACCGAGGGTTGCGATCCCATTGCTGGTTAGTAAAAAAGACAAAAAGGAAAAAAAAAAAGTGATCTGGGAGGTTGTTAGAAATTGGGATGCATGAAATTAAAATTTTGGAAGTTGTATAGATACTGTAATAACAAGGTAAAAATTATGACTGTGGCCAGAAGGCTGAAGTCATTTGGAGGACAAGATCATGGAAGTGGGAACTTCATTGAGAAGCTGGGGTGAATGAATTATCTCAGGTGGGGATTGTTATCTCCAAGAATGTTGAGAGGATTGATGGGGGAGAGGAAGGCAGTGATCCGTGTGCTTAAATTTCATGAACAAGGAGATGTGGAGCAAAATTATTGTTTTTCTGAAAGAACAAAGAACACTGGGTGACGCAGACCGATGGCATGTGCTTTAAGACAGCAGGGATTTTTGAGAGGAGGGAGAGGTAAAACATTCTGGAAGTTCCACAAAGAGCAAAGAGGACACAGGCCTTCTTCTAAGCACCGGAGTGCATTGGGTACTGGTGGCCAGGGGGTGGAAATTGTAGGGGAAGCAAAGAGCACAACTGCCACCTGGAAGAGCTGTGGGTGACATAGACAAGTAGCAATGAGCAATTTCAGAGAATAGATTGCAAATGTAGAGTTTGATTGATGACAGATGAAGCCTCAGTGGAAAGGCACAGGGTGACAGAGCAAGGTGGGAGATTGAGTTAGAACAGTAATGCACCAGGACAAGTGGAGATCAGAACCTAAAGATGATGGAAGACTGAGGAGTCCTGGGCTTCTGGGGGCACCCAGAGCTTCTCTGTCTTAGGAAAATCAAGTTAACTCTGTCCTCCCCTAAGCAGGAAACACTCTGGCTCTTCTCTGTGTCATAGAGCCATATTAGATGGGGTGGCAGTGGGGGTTAGCTCAATGAACAAATGAGTGAATATGTGACACTCGTAAAAGGTTGAGGAGGGTTGGTATCATGAGACAGCTGGAGGGAGAGATTTGTTTGGAAGATCCGATGATAGAAACCTTTTTATTGAGAAGTAAAAGAGCACAGCAGAAAGACCGAAATCTGGAGTCAAACAAAAGACATGGTTGAATCCCCAGTATGCAACTTACTAGCTGTAGGTCTTTGGGAAAATCACACCTTTCTGCCTCTCTCTGACCTCATCTGTAAACTTTTCCTCCTTAGGAGAACTTGAGCTTCAGATGGCAGTCTTCTCTTTGAGGCTCCTTTACCTCTATGGCAGCACTAATTGCATCCCACTTGGAAATTGTGTAGAGCTGTACAAATATAAGGGTGAACAGTAAAGACAGGAGAAATATAGCAGGCTCCACATACTCTCACACCTAGGCCTTTGCCTATGTGCCAATACCCAGCTACTTGAAGAGCTATTCGAAGATTGATTCCCTGTGGTCTTGAAATATTTTTCTCATAATGCATAATACATTAAAATAATAACAGCTAACACTGGGGAGAGGATTGTGGACCACCAAGTGAGAGTAACTCAGTTGAGGAGCCGGGATCCAGGACAGGCCACGTGAAGTTACCTTGGTTGTGTTACAACAAGGAACACTGTAACTTCTCTCCTGAGGTGGCTGGGCAGAAATAAAGCTGCCACAAAAGCCACAAGAGAAAGAAAGAACCAGAGCCAGCCATTCCCACACACGCCCAGGAGCAGGGTACGTACACGTTGGAGAGATGATGTTTTTCTCTGACTCGTCTATTTCTGAGTGAGACCTTTGACCGAGTTTTAGAATAGCTCTCAGCCTTGGTAAGCAGGGGCGGAGCTTCTGGAGGCGGAGCCTCAGGGCTCTATAAAGCCCAACCTGGCAACATTGGGCGTTTCTCCCAAGGGCTGTGAACTGCTGGCTTTCTGTTTGCTCCTGGGAAGATGCAGCGGCTGTTGAGTCCAGTGAAACGAGTGCTGCAAGTGGGAAGAGTGATGCAGGAAGCTTCCTTCACGCCTGCTTGCCTGCTCCCAGCAGCCCACCAAAGGTGAGTTGCATTGTTCCAGGATCTGTGCAGGTCATGCTTTGAGAAGCATCATAGAACCAGAGGGCCTGCTGCAGGGAAAATCTCACTGGAATCCCGCTCAAAAATTGGCAAGGCTTATGTGCGGCCTTAGGCAGGCTAATTAACTTCTCAGGGTTTCAGTTACCTTATCTCTAAACAGACATTCCCTTTTGGATTTAGAATTGGAGATCCCAAAGGTCTGACACATGTTGTGTTTGTGAACAACGGCATCTTTTACTCCTCCAGCTGCACAAAGCAGTAGAAATATCAGTACCAGGGCCTGCAGCTCTCTCCTCACCTTTACCCCCAGCCCCTGCCGACACCCTCAGGATTCTGTGCCAAAGATCTGATATAAAACGATGAAAAGAAGCTGTGTTTCCCCTGTGCTCCCATTTTATGAAAGAGGGAAATGAAATGTAAAGATAAGAATGTGTGTGTGCATGTGCAAGAAGAACGCACGCTCCTTTTCTCTGTAAACACCCCCTCGTGTGGTCCACGTGCTCGCAGTCTCCCCGTGGTGATGGTAACACAGCTATTGTTAGTGCCTTGGGCTCCCAGCCTCCTGTGTGTCAGTGTCCAGTCCCTAAACCATCCACTACAGCTAAAGACTAGCCCTTTCTTTCCTTCCAGTTTCACTCTGCATTCTATGAATACTGAAGACTTAGAGAGACAGGTTTGTTTTGTTTTTTTTAAAAAAAGATGACCAGCAAGGGGATCTTAACCCTTGACTTGGTGCAGTCAGCACCACGCTCTCCCCCGTGGCCTTGGTGTTATCAGCACCACACTCTCCCAAGTGAGCCATGGGCCGGCCCTTAGAGAGATAGTTTTGATCTAGTGTCTTCCCTTGCCTGGTTCCCAGGGAGACTGGGTGTATAAATGTGGGGGTAGGGGTGATACTTACTAGCTTAAATTTCTTCATAACTCTACCATCGTCTACAGTCTCCCCATACCCTGCCAAACTGATGCGTACAGGTCAAATGTTCCAGCTTGGAGTTTAGTCCATTTCTGTATTTGTAAGGAAGGGATTGACGTGGGTTTGTTTGTTTCAATAAGCAACAGCTGGCAAGCAGCCAAGAGACAAACTTCAGTCCTCACCAGCATTCTGACTTCTTTGGCTCAAACTCTTGGAATCATCATTCACATTTCCCTTTGGGTGTACTCACAGCTGATTCCACTATGCGTGGCTGAAATGATGTTAAGAATGCTCTTTATGGGTCACCTTTTCTCTGTATACCTATCCCCTCTAATCCAAACTGCGTCAGCTCTCAGCCCAACCTAGGAGCTACTCCCAGCTGGGCATCTGCTTTGCTGCCTCTAAAATTAAGTAAGAATCATGCCGTCCACTTTCTATTTTTCTCACACATTGTCTTCCTGCTCCCCTACACACCTTCTTCCCCAGGTTCCCTAGCCTGTTCAATAACCCCCACCGCGGCCACTGCCCCTTCATCCCCCTCCAATTCTTTATCAGAAGCTCCCTCGTCCAACAAGTCTGGTCTCAAATGCAGCCTCTTCCATGAAGCCTTTCCTGATCCCCCACCCGTGGAAATCTGTGCTTCCTTTGAACTCCTGTGGGAGTTTGCCCATATCCCTCCTGTGGCCCTTATCACATTCTGCCTTGCAGTGGGGTTATGGAAGTGCTTATCTCATTCCTCCCACTGGTCAAGGCAGTTCTCAAGAACCTTGCTCTCTTTTCTTTGTCCAACCCCTTCACCCCACAGTCCCTCCCCAGCACAGAGCCTGGAATGTAATAGTCAATGTGAAACACAGGGAAGGAAGCAAGATGAAGTAAAGAAATAAAGCTTGGCGCATGTTCTTGAGCAAGGCAACACCAGAACAAAACTGATTTTAAATTAAATAAAGTCGTTTTATAGATATCACCATCTATAAAATGAGCAATGTCATGAAAGTGACCAGATTTTAGGTACTTTCATATGGGAGCATGTGGGAGGCAGTCTTGGTGAGCTCTGTACTTGTAGGTAGAAGGAGAAACTCCAGATTTCACTAGGAGTACTAAGAGTCAGGGTTCAAGAGAAGTGGACAGGTCCAGAAAAGAAATAGAGAAAACACAGGATTAGAAGAATGTTCTTAACTACAGTGGTCTGATGCTTCTGAAAGTCTCTACAAGCTAACTTTCTTCAAGGCTCTGGAATCTGTTTCCCAAAATAGCCCACTACCCAGACATTTACCAAGCGACTGGCTCTTGGAACCTCTCCTTGCAACCTTAGATTTCAAACTGGGAAGAGAGGGAGGGAGTCAGCCTAAAGAAGGCAGAGAGAAAATTAGGCTGTGGGGAAAGCCAGCCAAGCTGGCAAGACCATGTGCTAGCTAACTATTAGCTCCTAGATACTGGGGAAGCTTCTCTATAAATATTTGACAGTACAAACTCCAGTTATTTGGAGGGCACCAAATAAATAGGGCAGATAAACAAACTCCAAAACTCTCTTCTAAGATACTGATAACAATCACTTTGCCTCACTTTTCTGTAATCACACGATCCACTTTTGCCTCACACAGTCTTTAAAGATGACCTTCCTGATGGGAGAAATGGGGCTACCAGAAGCCCAGAATCCTGAAGATGATTGATAGATACATTCAATCTGAGTCATAGCTCCTGTGGCATGGAACTAAATTTATAAGCCTGACACTCAAGGCAGTGAAGAAACAATATTTCTAACACATGAAAAATGATGAAGTTGCTCTGAGTACATCACTTCACAAGCACGTGCCTTGATTTCACCATCTATAAAATGAAGAATGTCATGAAAGTGACCAGATTTTAGGTACTTTCATATGAGAGCATGTGGGAGGTGGACTTGATGAGCTCTGTACTTGTAGATAGAAGGAGAAACTCCAGATTTTCACCAGAGGTATAAGGGTCAGGGTTCAAGAGAACTGGATGGGTCCAGAAAAGAAGCAGATGATCTTTTTCCTCGTCTACTGACCCCTCCCCCACTTACTTTCTCTTTGCCCCCATGTAGAATTGCTCTCTCTGCCCTCTGTGTTCCACAGGTTTGCTTCTTCTACTATGTATTCAGCTGTAAAAACGTCTGCCTTCTCCATTAGGCTGTGCCCTCTTTGTTGGCACAAAACGTGCCTTGTGTACTGTTGGGTTTCTGGGTCAGCTCTGTGTTGGGTGGGCTCATTTAATACTGGGAGGCCCAATCAGAAAAAGCAGATAGGACGGAATCAAGCAGAAAACTTCCTTAAAAAGTAAAGAAAAAAAAAAAAAAAAGAAGGAAAAAGAAAGAAGGAGGCTAATGGGTACACTTTCAAACTGAGTGAAATCTTAAAAATTATGCCCTATAAGGGTTAATAACATATGAGGGTACTTCAAAAAGTTCATGGAAACATGGAATTAAAAGATAATATGAATCTTTCCATAAATTTTTTGACATACCCTCATATATAGAAGTAAAGTACATGACAATAATAGCTCAAAGAGATGCAGGGGAGTAAATGCAGTTAACGTAAAGTAAGGTTTTGCACTGTTCAGAAAGTAATAGAAGTATTAATTCAAGTTAGACTACAATAAGACAAGTATGCACATTGTAATCTCTAGAGTAACCTCTAAAAGAAAAAGAGGGGATAAAATGGAATAGTAAATATTTGCTTAATCAAAAACAATATAGGAACCGAGGAATAAAGGAACAAAGAACATATGAGACAAACAGAAACAAACAGCGAGATGATAGACTTAATTCCAACTACATCAGTAATTACAATAAATATAAAGGACTAAATACTCCAACTAAAACATTGCTATTGTAAGACTTGCTAAAAGTTTTTAAAAGGCTCAACTATATACTATTTACAATAGACACATGTTAAATATAAAGACTTTGAGAGGTTAAAAGTATAAAAGGACAGAAGAAGATATACCGCACAAACAGTAATCGGGAAAAGTAGACTTTATGGCAAGAGTGATACAAAGATAAAAAGAGATGTTTAATAAGAATAAAAGGGTCAATTCAACAGAAAGATATAACAACAGTAAATTTGTAGTCATCTGATAACATAGCTTCAAAATATATAAAAAATGAATTAAATGTTTGTTGCATTACTGTCTTTTGAGGAAACTAACTACAAACCATTAGTGGGATCATAATTGTTATCTCCATCACAGGTTTTCTACAGTCTGTGCTGTTCCCCTGGCCAAAACAGATACTTGGCCAAAAGATGTGGGCATCCTTGCCATGGAGGTCTACTTCCCAGCTCAATATGTGGACCAAACTGACCTGGAGAAGTATAACAATGTGGAAGCAGGGAAGTACACAGAGGGCTTGGGCCAAACCCATATGGGCTTCTGCTCGGTCCAGGAGGACATCAACTCCCTGTGCCTGACAGTGGTGCAAAAGCTAATGGAGCGCACACAGCTCCCATGGGACTCCGTGGGCCGGCTGGAAGTGGGCACTGAGACCATCATTGACAAGTCCAAGGCTGTCAAAACAGTGCTCATGGAACTCTTTCAGGATTCAGGCAACACTGACATCGAGGGCATAGATACCACCAATGCCTGCTATGGTGGCACTGCCTCCCTCTTCAATGCTGCCAACTGGATGGAGTCCAGCTCCTGGGATGGTACGTGCTGCCAGGGGCCTTATGTAAGAAAGGAGCCGGAGTTGGAGGTGAATTCTATTAGTTTTGTTTCTCCGTTCCCCAGGTGGCTTCCTCCAGGGAGAGAAGGCCAACTTATTTACATAGCTGTTGCTATTATCCAACAAACACAGTGATAGTAAACATTTAGACTTGTATAGCTTTACACAGTTATTTATGTAGCATGTTCACATAGTCATTCATTTAGTCCTTGCAATGACTAGGAAATGGGCATTGTACCTAATTTATAGATGAGAAAATGGAAGATCTGATATCTTACACGTAATGAGTGGCAGAGACAAGACACCAAACCAAATCCAATACATTTCCTATTTTACTGTATGTTTCTCTTAAACATCTCCTAAGTCTCTGAGAGACACACTGGCAATGTTGAAAGATTTATACAAGTTTAGATGTTATAGGGAAAACAGCCTGGTAGAAACAGGCAGAGAGAAACACAGGATAGACTATTACAGAGTTTTTCTAGTCTTTATCCCTTGCTTGGCTCCTAGGAGGTTTCTTTTTATTTAATGTATTAACATTACTTTGTACATTACTCATGTCTTTCCTCAGTGCTGTATTGTAGGAATAACCCCCGTTGTGATGGCAAGAAAAGGCTCGAGGGAAGAAGTACAAGATGAGATTTAGAAACCCTAGCTCTGTCAATAATTGTTGACATGTCCCTTAACCTCTTTGAGCTTCAGGTTTATTTGCCTGGCTGCCTGTGTGGCTGGCAAGAGGACTGAATAAAAGAATCCACAGAGATGTGGAACAGCAGTACCTTGGCAGTCAAGGCACTCTATACTTACGAAGTTTGAAGCTAGGATTAAAAACCTTAGAAATCATAACAAACAATTATAAAAATAATTACAAAGTCTTAATGTTGACGGGGACCTTAGAGATTATTTAGTACAATGTCTTTTGCTTTTAAAAAGAGGCCGAGAGGCATTTAACAGTGTTCTCTGTTCATGCAGCAAGACGGCGCAATCCCAATAGTGGTTTTTCAACTGCCCTGTATGACCTCACAGTTAAGGGTTCCATTGATACGACATGTTCCACTCATTCCACGCATGTCATCAAATGTCATCAATGTGATGACATTCTGTCATCAAATGTCTTCTAACAGTGTTTCTCCTGCTTGGTACTTGTATTACTTCCTTTTTAGCAATCCCTATCTCCATTACCACCACCAATACATTCAACCAATGGTAGTGATGGTACATCTTTCTTGTCTCTCTTTACAGGTCGCTATGCAATGGTGGTCTGTGGTGACATTGCAGTCTATCCCAATGGTAATGCACGTCCCACAGGTGGGGCTGGAGCTGTGGCAATGCTGGTTGGGCCCAAGGCCCCTCTGGTCCTGGAACGAGGTTTGTAGTCAACCGTTACCAAGAGGCTGTGCGTGGCATAGCCAAATACATAGCTCCTAATCCAAATTGGCATACCCACTGCTTACTCAGGGCTGAGGTAGGGGGTTGCGATGGTATCGCTTGCCTCCTAAAGGCTGGTCTGGGGAGCAGAGGGTAGGGAAGAAGGGAAGAGGAAAGTCAGGTCTCCTCTCCTGCATCATCGCGCACTGGAATAATAATGCATGGAATGAGCGGCACAGGTATTGATGCGGAGCCCTAGGAAACTAAAGTGGCAATTCAAGATGAAGAAAGATACCTGGGTAAAAAGTGAAAGTCTTTCCTTTGAGGGTTTTGTCTTCTATTTCAGGTTTTGCTAAGCCCACATAAGTGCATAAAGGGAAATATAATTCTCACCTATGTAATACCAAAACTCTATACAACTCCTTTTGACTATGTGAGAGATGTGGAGTTGGGCTTGGGCTTGGACACAGATACAAACCAGGAAGCTCTTTCTCCATGGTTCTCCCATCCCTTCTGCTTGAGGTGGGCTGCTTGCGTAGTCCCTGAAACCCTCTGTGTGCCTTTCCAGGGCTTAGGAGTACCCACATGGAGAACGCATATGACTTCTATAAACCAAATGTGGCTTCAGAGTACCCATTGGTGGACGGGAAGCTTTCTATCCAGTGCTACTTACGGGCCTTGGACCGATGTTACACATTATACCGCCAAAAAATCCAGAAGCAGTGGAAGCAAGGTATGGGATTCGGAGGGAAAAAAGTGGGAGCTCTATTTATTTGGGCCAAGACTTTGTAACTAAAAGCTTAAGACAAGGTCTCTAATCTCCTTCCCTGAAAAAGATATCAGGAAAATTGGTTCATGTCTCCCTCTTACACTCTTCCCTGGATCTATGCTAAAATCCATTTGCATGCCATTCAAATTCAAGTATAAAATTTCCCGTAACTTGAGCTAAATGAAATAAAGTAAACAATCCAGGGCCAGAGCCACCAGTATACAACCAGCTGGTGTCAGCCACATGGGGAGATACTGTTGTGAGGTAGGGTAACTACTACGGAGGTTGGGATTTGTTTCTGTTTAAGCCAGGCATGATTAACTCTCGGCTTATATAGTTCGCTACCTTTTAAAGTCTGGTTGATGTTGAAAAATCTTACCTACATTTCTCGTATGCTAAAGTGTTATCAGTGATTTTTTTTCTGGATAGTGGTGTTACAAGTTGATTTTATTTCCACCTTTAGTTTCTGAATTTCTCTGCTAAAAAATGTATACAGCTTTCACAATCAAAAAAGAAGCAAATAAATATTAGGGTGGTATAAGGAGCCACTTCTTGCTCTTTTCCACTGCACTGGGCAGGACATCACCTTCCAGAGGCGATCCTATGGGTAAGGAGTCTACTGGACCTCTCTGCCTCTGCCTGTCCACTGTAAAATTGCTATTGTCTAATTACTCTCGCCTCCTCTGAATTCATATGGCATTTTAATTTTACTCCTTATGCTCACATAGAATTTGACGGATGCTGCTTTGGATCACAGCACTAAATTGTGAGTGTCCCTAAAGGCACAGGTTGCATTGTCCTCCTCTTCAGAGTGAGAGACAGTCCATAGTGTGGAGGCACAGACATCTGAGCTGAAATCCAAAGCCAGGCTTTTTCAAGTTGGGTGACCTTGGACCATAACTTAATATTCTGGAGATTCTTTTTTTTTTTTCCTTTTTGTCGTGACCTGCAACGGGATCGCAACCCTCGGTGTTGCGCCCGCACCTCGCTCAGCCAGTGAGCGGGAACCAGTCTGTATGTGGGATCTGAACCCTCGGCGGGAGCGCCGCCGCACTCCCAAGTGGCGCACTGTAGCAGTGCGCCACCGGGCCAGCCCATATTCTGGAGATTCTGCATCCTCCTCTGGAAAATGGAGAAAAATAATACAATGCAAGGCTGATTTGCAGAAAGCATCTGCCATAGAGGATGGCAAGAGTAGATACAAAGATGTTCATCGATTGCCCTTCTTTCCTTATACGTAGAGGCTGCTTAGTAAATGTGTGTGAAATGAATGAACAAACCTTATGTGTGTTTGCTGGAGGTGGGACTAGCTCTCTGGGAGGCCTAGGGTCCCTCAGCACAGTTGGACCTCAGAGAGTGGGTCTATATGGCTCATCTACACGCCACACCCTTGCCTTCAAATTTCCTCTTCCAGCCGGCATCGATCGACCTTTCACCCTGGACGATTTACAGTTTATGATCTTTCACACGCCCTTTTGCAAGATGGTCCAGAAATCTCTGGCTCGCCTGATGTTCAATGACTTCCTGTCAGCCAGCAGCGACACGCAAAACAGCTTATATAAGGGGCTAGAGGCTTTCAGGTGAGTCCTCTTCATAGGGAACCTAGGGGCTGGTGAGGTGTGACAAGGAGGAGGCCCCCTCACGCCTTGAGTCTGGACACCAGCATTCCTGTGGGAATAAAGGGCAGTCCTCCAGCACAGCAGAAATGACACCGAGTCCTCACATGGGCGATGGGTTATTTTCTGCACAGGGCCCTCCATGTGTCATCTCCTCCAGCACAGCAGAAATGACACCGAGTCCTCACGTGGGTGATGGGTTATTTTCTGCACAGGGACCTCCATGTGTCATCTCAGGGGAACACAGGGAGTTTGCCAATACCTCCGGATTAAGTGACTGTAGGGAGCTACAAAGAATAAGAAAAAGGGGAAAGGAGTGTGGTTAAAGCATTGAGTCAATGACCATTTTCTGAACTTCTGCTATGTGCCAGACATCATACTAAACTCTCAGGATACTAAAATG